CCTGCCTCAAAAAACTCCCCCAAAATAAATAAATAAATATATATATAAATGTCTGACATACTCAAAGCAATAAATACATTCCATGAAATAAGTTCCATCAATAAATATATTCCAATGGTTGGTGCTATGTAGCTCAGTGGTAGACCATTTCATTGCATGCATGAGACCTCAGTGCAATCTCTGGTACCAGGAAACAAATAAATAAGTGAACAAATTCCAATTACATCCTTTACAAAAATAGAGAAACAAATTCTAAAATTCCTAAGGAACTACAAAAGTGCCAAAGAGGCAATAATCAGAGGCATCATACATCCTGAATGAAAATTATCTCACAGCAACTAAAGCTATACCTCAGTGATAAAGTACCTGTCATACACAGGGCTCTGGGGTTGATCCCTAGCACCTACAATAAATGAATAAACTCTTGTTACAAAGCTATCGTAGTCAAAACTGCAGAGTGTTGGTTTGAACACAAACACATAGGCTGATAGAATAAAATAGAGGGCTTGGAAATACATCTAAACTGAGTTACCAAAAAGACACAATGGGGATAGAAGCTCTGGAAGTTTAGTGGGCTGAGGACCAAGAGTTCAATACCAGCTATGCACTTAGACCCTCTTAATCAACCAACCAACCAATCATTAAAAACCATCTGAGGAAAGGATATTTCCATATCTAGAAGAATAAAATTGGACTCTCAGGACACACATACAAATTGGCTCAATTGGTGGTGGTAGTGGGGCTACCCAAATTTAAGACAAGAAATGGGCACATCAAGCTAGAGTTTGTTGAGTTGTTAGATGAAAGCTCAGAACATGCATTTTTAATGAAAATGTAGCAATAAGGCTTAAAGTTCTATATAGAGAATCTATTTAATCATAGTGCATATGAAGCATAGAAAACACTGAAACCCACTCACATGCAGCATGAACACACTGCATCCCACTCACATGCAGCATGAACACACTGCAACCCACTCACATGTAGCACAAGCATTGCAACCCACACACATGTAGCACAATCACTGCAACCCACTCACATGCAGCATGAACACACTGCAACCAGCTCACATGCAGCATAAGCATTGCAACCCACTTACATGTAGCACAATCACACTGCAACCCACTCACATGCAGAAAACAGATTTTGTGGGAATGTGATGATAGCTTTTTACTGAGTCCAGAAACTCCTCTCCTGTCTCTAGCTGCAGAGGGCTCATTGTCCTGCCTTCTCTGCTCTTGCATGAGGGAGAAAACCCTCCGACCCTCCCTCTGGTTACAGCTGCAGAAGCTCCCAGGCCTTGGGTGTCTGGAAGAGCATTCCAGGATCTCTGGACTTCTGAAAACCTAGGTAGAGAGGAGATGCTACCAGTGCCATCTCCTCAACCTCCTCTTGGCCCCTGTTTGTTTCCAGATCACCTCCTTTGCTTTATCCCAGCAGCATCTGAACACTGCATCTCAGCCTCTCAGGATATCTTTCCAGAATTTTTGTTCACTGGTTTATTTAATTGAAGAGAAATGGGAATTAAATAAAGCTCTGTCCCATCCTTCTCCTAACCCAAACCTACTAGGAAATTTCAGTTTGCCTATGTACAAAGATTCACACTTCTCTCAAAAAGACACCAACCTCAAATGGTCCTCAGCACTCTACCAGCTAACATACTAGGTTGTGAAAGAGGGGAAATAGCAGGGTGTGGAAAAACAATAATCAGGTGTCTAATAAGCAGACAACTACTGATTCAATTCAAAAATGTGGCTGAAGATGCTGCCATTGGGCACCTGGCCATCCCTGGAAGACCACAGAAGGCGACAGCACACTAATTTCTTTCCTCTGAATTTCATTTCCAAGATGACAGGCAATAAACAAGCAGCAGCTGAGAAGAAGTGACGTTAAGAGCTCCACAGAACAAGCATAAGGCAGAGGGAGGGAGAGGGAGGCCACTGAGGAGCGACAGGATTCCCATGTCCACTTTCACCCATGTTGCACATGAGTCTTATGGTGTTGTAGACTCAAGTGACACAGAAAACGTCCTCCATCCATTCTGACTGCTGGTAAGAACCCCTCTGCCCTGTGTCAGAGAGAACACTCACTGGTCATTACTGCATCCTAGCAACTAAACTAGTCCTTGGCTGGAAATGAAGGTAAAGCATGGATAAGCAGGTCCTTCTGCCTCCGTTTAAGCACTTGTGACTTTTTTCCCAGCAAGAAAGGGGCAAGAGGCAGATGGAAGTCACTCAAGAGAACTGATGAGGGCCACCTGGCCATGGTACAACCTGAGACAATTTACCCCAGAGGAAACACATCAACTTAGACTTCTACAACCAACTTGTCACCCTTTCACTCCATTCTGAATGTCTCCCCTCCCACAGAGCCTTCAAAGAGCAGCTTGATCTGCCACCCCCCGATCTTTTACTTCCCCAACATTCAGGGTGGCAGTCACTATCATCCTCACTAACTAATTACAGCAATTTCCACCAAAGAGTGAATGGGTCTGCTAGATGATTCAGTTCTATTTTAAAGTTGATTCTAATGAAGGGGAGAATTGCTACCCATGCAACTCCAGAGCTCCCAGTCTCCTCTGGTTCTTAAGAGTTCCTAATCAAAGATTTCATTAATTTGACCTCTATATGAATGGAAATTTCAAGAAAGGCATTCACCTCCTCAGTCACCCTGACAACTTCCAAGCCCTCGGGGGGAAAAATGATAGAAATAGAGAAGGAAATAGAGGAGAGGGGAAAAGCATTGTCCACTTACTTCTCATAACCAATGAAGTATGTATTCATCCTGAGGAGGTAAAATTCTGACTGAGGATCATACCTACATTGTAAACATACATTAAATATGTGTACCAAGTCATCAATGAGTCTGCCATGGGGTGAATGCTGGTGTTTCTCCAGGAGGTTATCGTTTTTTGCTGAGCTCCCTGTGAAGATATCTTATTCAGCAGTCCCATTATTTTAGAAACATCATATATGAAATACTTATCTGATCAGCTATTTGCAATATGGTTTTCTTAAAAGTTAGATAGAGACCATTCTTTTGATGAAAAATGAGATACTTCTGAGTGTCTCATCCCCACTTATGCTCAATTTCATCCTTTGGAATATTAATTCTCAGAACCACTTTCCGAGATTCTACAAATCAGGACTACTGATTTCTCAGGGAGGCCTCAAAACTGCTAACTGCCAACTGGCAGGCACAGCTCTCAATCAGCCACCTGAATTGATTTGGAGGCCTTGCTAATTCCACCAGTCATGGTGCTATGTCAACAGGAAGTTTGTGGGCCCTTAGTGGAGCTCCCAGACTCTGGTCTTTGGTTTATCTTGAAAGATGCTTATAAAAGAAGGACCAGGTAAAACTTTGAAATCTGCATCAGGACCAAGTTGTGGGTCAAGTTTGCAAAATCGATTGTGCAGCTTTTACACCCACTGCACATTCACACATATGTCCCTTATTACCCAGTGGAAAACCATTAAACGCACAGTAGTTTTGCCAAGTGGCGTTAGCATTTAACAGCTTCTTCGTTTAGCAGCTCCAAGTCTCATTATATTTTGCCATGTGGTACATGGGATTTTATGCATTTAACAGTGTAGGGAGGCTCTAGGGCGTTGCATGCATTTTCATCCTATGGTTGGACATATCTTAGCAAACTTGGTTCACTAGTTCCCTTGATGGAAGGCTCAGAGTCATTTGGAAGAATGACTACATGGAAACTGAAAAGGGAAATGAACATTTCAATCCTCCAAACTCCTTTGGTATTTTCTATTTTTATTAAAAACTGAAAGTGAGTTACTATAAAATCGTAGGTTCCCCCCCAAAAAAAAGAAAGAAAGGAAGAAAGAAAGAGATTAGAAAGAAAGAAAGAAAGAAAGAAAGAAAGAAAGAAAGAAAGAAAGAAAGAAAGAAAGAAAGGAAAAGGTGAACCCGCAAACAATCATCTAAATATAACATTTATCATTTTAAGGACAATTTTTATTAAACTTTTTCTTGCTTGATATAAATGTAACTTAGTACTGTAACACGCAGTAGTAACTCAGTACTACAGCACACAGTAGTAACAAGAGTTAGTGCCCAACAGATCTGTTAGAGAGAGGGTAAGGACCATTCTAACATTTGCATATGTAGGAATGAAAACATCTGTCATGCAAAGCACAGCGGAAATCAAGCTCAGAATCCAAGGGCTCTGAAAATGAGGCTGCAGCTAACTTGCACTTCCTGCACCCTGCATTAATTGTTTATCTGTGGGATGAGGATGGGAGCCCTGCAAGCAGACCTAAGCCAGTAGCTGCCCCCATAAGCAAGATGAAGCAGAGTAGATCCTGCAACTGTTGCTGCTCCCAGAAGCAAAGCCGAGCATCTGTGTGTTGTTTCCCCTGAGCAATGCACTCCCCTCCATCCTGTTGCTGAACACTTTCACTGGATAAGCACCCATGTTTTCCTGCTAAAAGATTTTAGCACTTACTCTGGAAGCCCCACATGTGTTTCTCCTGGAAAAACAACTGTGTTCTATATGCGAACGAAACACCTGACAAGGTGTCTCTGGGGCTGGGCAAACGTAGTTATTAGAGCAAAATCAGTCCTTTCCCTGGTGGGAGTAGGGAGGTGATGTGCCATGGTTGAATGTGGTCTCAAGGAGGGGGGGGGTGTTATGCAAGGCTACGTTTTCTTTAAATTAAAAAAAAAAAAACACTGATCTGCTTCCTAAGAAACAGCATTTTTTTTCCTATGAGTGCAGCAGGCTTTGGATGAGGGGGGAAATATTTTAATCCTGACCCTTTAATATCAAATTGTTATTTAAGAGAATGGAGAGAGGTTCTGGCATTGTATCTGCCCTGAGCTCCAGTGGGAGTTACAGCAAAGCCATGGGGCAGAAGGCAGAGTATGATGGGCTCCCCAGAGGTTATTATTGTTATTATTATTATAAAAACAGATGTGCTTTTATTGGAGGGCAAGGAGAGCAGTCCCAGCCCTCTGTTTTGCTCTTTTAAAAAATCACTCACCTGACTTTTGTTTGCAGCCACTTTGGCAAACAGGGCTTGAGACACCTTGGCCCTTTTCATCTCCTGTTGGATCTCATCATAAATGGCAGCTGTGATGCTGACGTTGGCGCCGTCCGCTTTAATAGGGAGGTCTGTTGTCGGTGTCGAGGTTTTGGCCTACCAAGAGACCATGAAAATAATAATTTAAAAAGTGCTGCATTCAGAGCAACCATCTGTGCAGAAATTATCAGAGGGTTCCAATCAGCTGATGCCAAACCACATTAGCTACAGAGGGACACTTCCTGTCCATTATTCTAATCAGGTTAATTGTGATTGGAAATAATTGCAATGCATTCCTATAGGACATACAGAATCCTGTCAGCTCCTGCTTGCCCTCACAGTATCCTGGTGGCTCACAGGTAGGAAGGCAATCCCGGGCACCCAAATATGTCATCTATCTACAGGCAAGCAAACAGAACACACCTTTTTCTTTGTAAAAATGGTACACCTTACAGAAAGAGAAAATTCCTTAAGGAAAAAAAAACTGAGTAAATGGGTAGAGGTCTCTAAATAATAAATTATTATTCAATTTAATGCACTCCCGCGAGTACCTCTCATTCTTTATTAAGGCTTCATGTATGTTATTTGAGTATGTGAGGTACCCATCATTATCATCATTATGCTACCTAGACAGTCACCTAATTTCACCTAGGAAATCACTGGAAATGAAACAAAATTTCATTTCATAAAACTGGGCTTCGGATGCCTTCCATGCAGAGTTTTCATTTTCTTAAACTCATATTGTGGTCTTATGCATTCTGCCACGCTCGTTTTAATTGAATGATTTCCCATTAGCTTCAGAGACAAATGAAGGACAATGCAGAAGGTGTTGTGCTTCCTGGGGTGGTAATACCCTAAAACATCCAAGTCAACCTGGCCCAAAAGACTGCCAGAAAGACATAGCTTACTTAGTCTGATGCCTAAGCTGCCTGCCTGGAAGGTCCAAGCAGATTTCTTATCTCTGGCAACCCATCCTTGGATATAGTGGCATTGCTGACTAAATGAGTCTAAGTTTGGTTTTTATTCTGTCCTCACTCACCCTGAAAATCCCATAATAAGAATGATGTCTGCAGATCACAACTTTCCCTCTGCTGCTGCCCGGAGCTGCCCTCCCCTAGGCTGGCCCTATGCAGGTCTGATAGAAAACAGTATGCAGTCACGACAGAGCCGCTCCATGCAAGGATGTCGTGAGCCTGGCCTTCCTGCTCTGAGTTCCCATGAAGGCTTGGCTTCCTGAGAGTACACAGTGGCATTTGCCATCTTTCTTTGCTCTCCATGCCCCATCTTCTATTACCAAGTCATAATGAGTGTAATTGTGGGCTTCTGTGGGCCAGGCACTCTAGGAAGACTGTTAACTTCTGTTTTCCCATGTAACACTTATAAAAATCTAGTGGGTGAGGTGTCAGCATTCTGATTTGCAGGTAAAGGAGTTGAAACAACAGAAGGCTTTACTTGATTTTATAAAGGTAGTGAAACAGTGAGGAAGGCACCCCGAACTCATGCAGTTTAGACTCCAGAGCCTCACTTTCATATGCTACACCATTTCCACACAGGGCAAGTACCCACTTCCCATAACAACACAGTTTTTCATCTTCTCACAATATCTAGCTCACACACCGCTCTCCCCATTGAGTGAGTGGCATTATGTTTATCAACTGTTTTCATTACCTTCACTGCCTCTGCTTACCCGATTGCCTAAATCTTCACCTGAACACCAAGGGCTAAAACTAAGTGGCCACTATAGTACATGGCCAAGACTAGATTTTGGCATCAGTTTAACTATGGTTCAAATCCTAACTCTACCACTCAGCCCTGGGAACTCACTAATACCAGCTTTTTAGCCCATTTGAGCCTGATTCCTCATTGGTGACATAAGGACATCACTACAAAAACAGTAATGATGGAAATCGTGCAAACTGTTCATTGTACTGGCTGTGCTGACATTGAATGTGAATAAGTGGCCACTTTCTTCCCACTGAAGAACACTGGCCACTGAAGAAGTATGAGAAGATACTGGAGGTTTAATTTCAAATCTGAAATGTCTTTGATCTGTTTGTTGTTAAACTGATAATAAAGTGTTCAAGGAATCTGGAAAACTATTTGTACAAAGCTACCTGTGTAGATGAAGTTGCTGACTCCAAATAAGGGCTGTCTGTGGTTCCTACACTCATTCATTCTCAGACTAAAACTCTACAGAAAATTGTACCATTTTTCCCCCTGTTCTGAGACTTGGACTTGCTGTGTAACTGATGGCCTTGCTGATTACAGGCATGTATTACCAGGCTTGGCTAGCTGCTGTCCCTGTTTGTATAACATATCTTTACTACTGAGACATGTCAGAAAGAATTTTAAACACATAGGTATACAGGTATGCATGAATGTTTCAAAGACTCAAACAACTTTCTCTTTCCCAATCTTCAGCCACAGATATAGAATAAAATGGGAATGAATGTATAATCATGGTTCTAGAATTATAGTCCTCAAAAGTATACCTGAAAATTTCATGTGTATTTTCAGAAATCAAAAAGCTATAAAATTAAATGTTCAACTTCCTGTACTTCTCCCTAAGGGAACCTTAATCTAGGAATTTTCAAGTTTGAATCCTAGTTCAAACAAAGAAAATGTTGTCCTAATTGTGAAGCTATACTAAGCTGGTCAGGCTCTGGAAGAGATCAGGTCTCTGGAAAAATGCAGAACATACAGTCTTTTTTTTTTCCGGTTTTTACAAGACAGGGTTTCTCTGTACTGTTTTGGAGGCTATCGGTCCAACCCAGCCTCGAACTCACAGAGATCCACCTGCCTCTGCCTCCCGAGTGCTGGGATCAAAGGCGTGAGCCACCACCGCCTGAACATACAGTCCTGTTAGAAAAATATTACAAAGACACTGAACACAAAGCGAACCAACCTGTGTGGTTTCCTAACAAATATAAGTGGCCTTGTTCCAGGACAACTGTCTGGCTGAAGGGACATGGAATAGGAAGTATGGCTAGACTCTCCAATAACAGCTGAACAGTCTTTAAACATGGTAGAAACACTACTGACTTTACTGGCAGTCGATATTAGTGCAAGTTACCAATGTCCTAACAGTTCACTATATGGTTCCTAATATTCAAAGAAAAAGGCTTGGTTGCACATGACTTTTAACAGTCAGCATGACTCATAATTTACTAAAGACTAAGGTGTAAGTAATGCAGTTTGGCAGGGCATGATGGAAAGTGACCTTTAGTTACAAATCTACGGCAAAAATATAGAGCAAGGTATATGGGGAAAATGATGATATTATATTTGCAAAGGGTCTAATATTTCTACCAGAATATAGTTCTGATTCTGTGTTTAATCAATTTCTTGGAACTTATCAGAAAAAAACTAAATAGTAAGAACAAAACTATAGTAGCTAAGCAAAGCAGCCTTTTATTTTGAAGGATTCAGTTTTCAGTTTTGCACAAATGGATATGTACCAATTCTGTTGGGTTGAGAACCATCACTCAGAATTTAGATGTCCCAGAGAATGGAATGGCTTGATCATACCAAGTAGGGAAAGTTTAGGGGAAGCAGGGGGTAAGTGAGAAATGAGTGGCTTACATTTAAATTGGAAATGTGCCCTGGTTAGCTTCCATTCTGAACACTTTACAAGTGTGCAAACAGGATGGCCAGAAGTTCCCAAATCCTACGAGGGGCAAACTGAGGCATCCTGTCACCAGGACCCATCACTCTGGCCCAGCTACCATACTCCCTACACACAAGACTTTTCTACTGCGCTCTTTAAAAAGTCTTATTTTCTTTGTAATGGGGGGGGCGTGCACATGAGTGCAGGTGATGAGCAAGTCAGAAGTGTTTGATGCCCATGGAGCTGGAGTTACAAATGAAAGTAATAATCTTAAGTGCTGAGCCATCTCCCTCCCCATCGAATAAACAAGCAATTTAAGGAAAATAAAGTGCATGGCATACACACACACACACACACACACACACACACACACACACACAGCTTCCACACAACCCCCAACCCCCACTCCTTTCCTCTGAAATGGCACAATGAGTAGGAGCTCACCCCACCTACTCTTGCCTCCTCCCCTTTTCCTGCTCATTGGAGGAATGGGGCTTTCCCAAAGGGAAAGGAATAACATACCACAGAATGGGATTACCATATGACATAGCTACAGGCTGTACCCTTTGACCTGTTCCTTGGATTAAGAAACCCTTGAGTTATGTTTCTTGGTGCTTAGGGGGATACAGATTATCCATGAAACACGACAAGTGAAACGTGGAGCAGATAGCTCACCTGAGGGGTTCGGGAGGAACTGGGACTGCTAGAGGCGGAGGAGACCATGCTCACATTGGGGTTCATGCTCCTCTCTCGCTCATCCTGGTAAATGCGGTCACGCTCCACTTCAGGCAGATTGAGGAAGTTCTGCATGGCCCTCAGGTTTACTAGCAGAGACTGGGAAGCAGTCCTGGGGTCTTCTTCCTTGCGCAGGATCTCTGACAACAATCCCTGGTGGAGCGGGGGAAAACAGGCAAAGTCACGTCTACAGATTTACGTGTGTGGCTTCCATCTCCCACCCGACTGGCCCTCTGTTTGTTTGGCACAACCAGCTTGAGAGGATACCAGGAACATGCCTAATTCCTTAAGGCTCAGAAGGGATCTGTGGGAATGTGCTCTCCTTCCGGGGCTGTGCCTTATTTTAGGGTTTCTATTCTGCCACCTCATCATCGCTGTAATAATCCTATGGCGGCAATGCCAGCGAGCAAGGTAGGCGCTCGGGAGGAAATGTGGAACTGCAATTACCACCAGGTGCCTCCTGCAAGTATTTCAGGAGCTGTAAGAACTCTCTCTGCTTGAAACTGGGAACTCTTGGCAGTCCTGCTTAGCTTTACAAATCTGCCAAGTTTGGTAAATTTAGTTCCGACATTTAAACAGCATGAGAGATTCACATCCATTTAAAAAAAAATAAAAGTTTGGCTGAATTTCTGTATGACCGGCCACTGATTTCAATATAGACATTTCCTATAGCAAGACAAAAAGAGACAGAGAAAGAAAAACAGAAAGAAATAGAAAGCAAATGATTGCACTCTGCCAACCATCTGATAACTTCCCAATCCTCATACACAATAGTTATGTTTGCACAGGTACCAAAGGCACCCAAGACTTTTGTGAGGTAGCCTCCTGGGGAAGCTCTAATCTTACAATTAAGGTGATGAAAATGTGGTCACATTAGCCAGAGATCTGAACTTGCTCTAATGTAGTGTGGATAGGTCCCTGTGTTTTCTGAATGTGAGACTCAACCAAAATAGGGAGCTCTAAGTGCAGTGTTTTTTGTGTACTCTAGTGACACAGAACTGACAAAGATTTTGCCAATACTCTAGTGCAGCAGCACGGCCTGAGAGGAGGACAGGAGAGATGAGCTAGAGTGAAGTTAGGGCAGAGGCAGATCCATCACTGCTCCAGACACTTGTTGGATGACCACACAGAGACATCATTCCCTATTATCAGATGATATCCTTCTGCAGGGCACTAGGAGATTAGGGTTTAGCGCTGTTCCCCCAGGAAGAGCTAAGACATTAATCCTGTCACTCAGAACAGATGGGGCAACACCAAGTCATGAAAAGTCACTTTTATGAACTGCAGCAAAGCACTATTGGTGCCAATGATGTTTGCACTGAGGGGAATTAATATAAATGCAAGAGACACAGCTCACATAAAACAGCAGTGGACATGAGAGGAAGAAATACTCTCTGGCTGGACAGAAATCTGCAGTGTACAGTGGGCATTTTCATATAAATGAATATATCGAAATGTAGTAGTGAAAGGCACTTATAGGAATGCATATCACATAGTCATCAACATTTCAAGGATGTACAACCATCATTCAGAACATCACATAAGGGCTGGCAAGATGGCTCAGTGGGTAAAAGTGCTTGGCCAATGTCCTGGGTTCAATTCATGGGGCTTCCAGAATAGGAGGAGAGAACTGACTCCTGCAAGCTATCCTCTGACCCCGACATGTGCACTGTGGCGCGCGCACACACACACACACACACACACACACACACACACACACACACAAAATAAACCTAGTAATTTTTTAAGTCATACAAAACAACTACACTGCAAGGAACCTATGCTAACTCTGCACTTGGAAGTCACCCTTACTTCGATTGGAAGAATCCTAACACTTAGAAGAAGTGCTGGGAAGCACACAGTGCATGTTTGAGGTCAGAATGTGAAAAAGGGTAAAATATGCCACATAATGAAGCTAGAAGAAATGTGGATGCGTGTGTGTGACTATGTGTGATTTGGTATGTGGGCATGCACATATGTGCTCAAGGAGAGAGCAAGGTAGGTGGTGTGTGTAAAAATAGCCGACTGCTACAATGATTAGAAGAAAATCCAGACTTCATGGCATGCTTTGAGAAGCCAGAAGTGAGGTGCTCGTCTTCCAGGAAAGCGATACACATCCTGTGAATCCATTCTCTTTCTGGAATTAAGAGTCAGTTGTGCCTTGGGTTGCCCTACTTCCCATTTTAACTGAGCAACCTGAAATATACTCATAATGGATTTGCTTCAAAGACTTTCTTTTTTAAAAAGTCTCTAAGTTAATATGAGAAAAGGAAGAGGATTTTAAATTGCTTCCAATTTCCAAAGTCAATGCGACACCAAGATTGATATTTTCTGAGCTGTTTTTCATGATGAGTCATGCACAGAAAGAATGAGTTGGTTTCCTTCCCTCCCTCCTCCCCCATTCTCCTTTTCCTCTCTTTGACCTACCTTCAGTATAAAAGTGTTTTAGGGTCATCATGGAGATACTCACCATGGTTATAATTAAAAATATCTCAAAGGCAGAGTTTAACTTCTCCCATGAATTTATTTTCACAAGTCACATAGTGTATCATAAAAAAGGTTTTTTTTACATATAAAATAGTGATATCAAAAACTGTTGTTCTTATGTACCATAACTAAAAATTATGCTTGTTCCCCAACAACCAAAAAAGGTCATTAAAATTTATGGAGTGTTTTCATTTGTTGCTTGCATAGGATCCTTCCTCTACAAGCCTTCTAGAAAAATTCCCCCATCTCTCAGGGCAACAGAGTAGCCCTGAAGAGGGGTGCTGGTCAACATTACTGCATTTGTATCATGAGTAGATCGTGGCATATATTGCTTCCACCGATTCATTTGCCTAATTGCAGACATACTCTCAAAGGAACAGGCTTAGCCAGTGCCACCTTCCTATACGGCCACCAGCAAGCTACAGCATTGCTCCAAATCCTTAACCACAACTCTCATCAGTGTGGCAGTGACCCCAAAGTGCATTCTTTCCACTCAGGACATTTCCAATGGAAAGTGACTAGCTGGAGTGCACAAGTCTTGGCATGTTTTGTTCTGACATTTTTACTTAGGTTATTTATGCACTTTTTAACTATTGTAAACTAATATTTGAAAAGTGTAATCTAAATATTGTAGACATATATGTGAAGTGAATTCAGTTAGTTGAAAATTACCACACACACACACACACACACACACACACACACACACACACACACACCCGATTCCTCCCAAAAATCTACAGCCTAACTCTCACATCCACACAAACCACCTCACCGCCTACTAATTATCGAGATGAATAAATGTTTATCATATTGAATCTGTCTTGAATGGAACATGAATTAATAATTAATCTCACATAAATATTTCTAAAGCCTTTGCTACTATGTCATCTGGCATTTTAATTATCAACCAGCCAAGCAGGAGGTGTCACTTGGACATTGCTATTATGCAGCTTCAGATACAGAAAATGTGGCATGGCACCTGGGCTCTAGAAGAAAAAAGAAAAGATGCACTCCTATCAATGGGAAGGTCGTGAAAGGAATTAACAAATTAACCAGGATATTGCTTATTAAAGTTTTATACCAGTAATCATATTAAACCATACTGCCAGTACTGAGTAAAATGGCCATTAAGTATTTGCCTCTTTGTAGGCTATAGACCCTTCTCCAGGGAAACATACAGTTTTTTCAGTGGTGTTATCCTACTTTACATAAGACAAAGAAATAGATTGCCTGCTAGGGCAAAGGTTGACATAAAGTACACACATCCTTCACATTAGTTCTTGGGGTCTAAGTAACCGGAATAAAGAATTTTGCAAAGGGAGCCGCACAGGGCCGTTCCCCTGGCTCACCAATAGGGGAGTTTACAGGTTTTTACACCATCACCAGCACCAGAAGAATAGGCAGGCCTGGGAAGAAACTTACGAAAATCATAATCATTCAAAGTACAGACAACCAATTGTATAATGTAGTCTGACTTGCCTGGTATATACAGGCTATCTTCAAAAATAAAAGGAAGGAGTTGAGGTAACTTTTAAAGTAAAAGTAATTCATGTTCTCCTTTTGTCTGTTGTAAAACAGCATCTCCGAGTAATACCATGAATGACTATACTTTCAGTCACTGGGTCTGTCTCAACACCTCGCCAATTGATGCAGTTTTTCTTGTTAGTATGCAGGGTACATGGTGATTCTCAGAAACATGTGGTAAACATTATCATGACTGACTTTCAAGTTTCTATACTAGCTTTGTCACCTTCCCAGGGACAGCTGGCAGAATATCTTAGGTAGGCTTTCAATACTATAAGAGAACTCACACCTGTATGGACTAGGTTTTAGGAATGCCCAGACCCCCATAGGACAGGGCAGGACTTGCTGGTTCTGAGCAGATAGCCCTTATATGTGGTTTTCCAGCTTTTGGTACTTTTCTAGAGTTAGACTATAATGGCCACAGGAAAAAAAAGTCTATGAAAGCCGTAAGCCAGATACAGATACAGTTCCCTCAACTGTCTAGGGAACTACCAAACTCAGTGTACTTGTCCCAAAGAAGAGGAGCTCCATTAATTCCTTTCTCACTTGGTAAAAATCTCAGGGGAAGGTGAAAAGACCAAAAAGAGAAAGACGTTGCTTGCAAAGAATATTCTGCAATGTGGGATGAAGGTTTTACAGGACAGGAGCACACTGTAAAAGAATCACACTGGTGTGATTCCAACAGAGGCAGGAGGATCATGAGGTCAGGGATGTTCCTGGCCATGCAGGGAGACCCTGTCCTAAGTAGGAAAAGGCAAGAAAGGCAGGCAGAAAGAGAGATGGGGGAGGGAGAGGAGCGGAAGGGAGCAAGGAAGAACAGAGGGGAGGGGATGGGAGGAGAAGAAAGGGAAAGGTGGGAGGAAAAAATGACAAATGTCATAAATTCAAACTACAGCTAGCACCATCTTGGTTCAAAGTAAGAAGTATCACTGGCTGTCGGATAGAGGGGGCAGGCTTTTGTGGAGGGGGTAAAATAGGATCTAGCTGAAGCTTTAAATATGAGTAGCACTTGCAGGGAAATATAATGGCATAGGCAGGAAGGAAGGACTGCAAAAAAGCATCTGAAGGAAAAGACACCATGCTTTCTCCAGACAACCACGGGAAATTTGCTTTCTTAAGTGGTGGGGGCAAGTAAGGAC